GGTGAGAAGGTGTTCCGACCTGGATGTGAAGCAACTGCAGTCACATGACACATTGTTTGGGTTAAACATGAGCATGTTACAGTCCTGGAGGATTATTAATGTGCACCTCCTCCTGTACTGCCTTAATATGCACATTCAGCACATCCAATGCATCAAAACATTGTTTTCTAGTTGGAGCCGCGCCTCGTTTTCAAACTGTATGGTTTGACTAAAATGAACAATGACAGCAATATAGTCCACGATGAGCAGCGCTAAAATCAACCTGCGTAGTTGTCCCTCCATTGTGACATTAGAAAGTGTCACATTTATCTTGCAAGTGTACTCTTCTTCAACGTTTGCTTTACTTCCTGGATTTTTCCCACATGGAAATTCTGACCAATCAAGAGCAGCTTTCTCACACAAGGCATTTGATCTGGTCCTCTTGTAAATGCTGCCGTGAAAACACGAACCAACTCTAGGCAATTATACAACTATGGAACAACATGAGTCCCTGATTCAGACCAAAGGAGCCGACTCTAGGTCTGACAGCAGCCTTAGAGGCACCAGTTAGCCTAACCTGTGTGTGTTTGGACTGTGGTCAGAGGTTGGTGTACCCCTAGAAAAGTTGACAGAGAACATACCTGCGAACTTGCAGACCCAGATGGGCCCCCCCCACCCCAGGGTTCAATCCACTAAATGTCTTGCTGTCAAGCGACAATGCTAACCACCGCACCACCGTGCTGCCAAACAAATCTTTGTTAATCACAATCATTAAAAAAGAAGTGATTGGATACCACTAATGATTTAACTGAATATGCATGTCTGTAGTCTCTGCGGGGTGATCATGATATTAATAAAATATTTGTAAAAATTCATGATGTAAAAACAAAAGAATTTTCGTTTTATCAACTGCCATGCATTACACTGTGTTTCCTTTATTTTTCACAGTTACATAGTTGTTAATAATGTATTCGATGGATATGTGTCGTCACTGTCAGCCTTCATTCAACTGTCATGAAGTATTATTTGTGTGGAGGAGTCCCACAGCCTTCACTGCCTCTGAAATAAGATGCTGCACTTAACTGATGACCGCAAATACACTGTTGTGATCTCTGACAGCACAAGGACGACTGGCTTCAGCTGCTCTGATGAACACACACACACACACACACTCTGGAGATGACTGAATCACAGGATTAAGGATCCACCATGTTGTTTAGGACTGTTTCTTTTATACCTCTGAATATCTGCATGCTCCTGAAACGCTTTAGTCTTGGAAAAGGTAACTCAAGGGATAATCTTGCAACATGTTTTTAATGTGTGTGTGTATTTAACTTTATTTAATAAATCAGTGATTAAGGACACAGTATCTGAATCATTAACCAGCCACAGTAAATGACCTCTGTCTGTGTTTCTGCTGTCCTCCAATACTCACTGGCAGTAATGGACATAGGTACATTTTGTGGTCTACAGAAGTGAGAGAAGCTGTTAGTGAGTGAAAATGGATCCACAGTCAGGTTTAAAAGGCAGAAACCACACATCCTTGGTCCTTTCAGAATTACGTTTCAGCAGGGCTGCCAAAAAACTTCCAGGTAAGGGTGGTGTTCAATGTTTTATAGGGATGTCCCGATTGAATCTCAAAGATCGGGTTCAGGGCTGATCAAGGCATTTTTTTAACTGATCTGGATCAGATAAAATGAGCTATATAGAGGATCCAGTCCTTTGTGTAATGTCAGCTGTCACACAGGTGTTTTTACCTGCGAAGCTTTTTTGCAGAGACACCGCAGCGCAGCTGTCTCCAACTCTCCACTCTCCTTTTTCCCTCCACTCAGCTGAGCTCCTGTGTTGTGCCCGGTTGTGTTCACACTCGGCGTGAATAAAACAATTTGCGCAAGTGAATTACATGTAAAGTCAATGTAAAGAAGCAATTAGACGTGACGTGAATGACGCAAAATACCCCTCAGGTCCCCCTTATAAAAAAATCACACCTGTCCCCTTCAGGACGTTTTTCGTCCTTGTTGAAAAACAACCATAAAAATATTAAATATTAATATTTTTTCTACTTTTTTTGCTTAAATCTTTTAACCAACTCCTACTCAGGCTATACATATCAAATATTCATTAATTTTGAGGATTTTTAACCCTTTATACGCCATTTCTTTACATGAAGTCACTGTTACTTTTATGTAATAAATGTTGGATGAATTTTTTTTTCTAATTATCACAGTCTGGGATATGTGAATGATTAATAACAACACCAATTTTGATGCATTATTATTTTTTTGTGCAGTTTCGATTTTTCAATAAACACCAACACCTGTCCCCTTCCGGACGTTTTTCGTCCTTGTTGAAAAACAACCATAAAAATATTAAATATTAATATTTTTTTCTACCTTTTTTTTTTTGCTTAAATCTTTTAACCAACTCCTACTCGGATTATACATACCAAATATTCATTGTGTGTGTGTGTGTGTGTATGAGAGAGAGAGAGAGAGAGAGAGATGGAGAGAACAGTAATGTAACCTTGCAGCAACCTGCAGCTCATAATTTGCAATTTTTAGCTAAACAATTACACACATGCACATGCAAACACACACACAGACACACAATATTTTTTTAGTATCTATACAGCCTCAGTCCTCAGACATCCATATCAACACTAACGTAGCATTTATTTTAATTTTTTTTTGCAACAATGGCTCGCAAACCTCAGTAATGAAAAAATAGGAGAAAAATACAGGCAATTTTACGGCTTATTATTTAGCGTGTGTTTGCTCTGCTGGGGAAGCAGGAGAAAATGTATGATTCAGCATTTTAGTAAAAACTTCCATTTTGATCCCCTAACTCTGGAATGCATGACTAATATCATCAAATTCATGTTTCTAAGTTGCCATGAGGATGTGATGAACAAATACGGAATTTATGGTTTTACATTTAGCTATATTTTCACATAGGGATTTGACATTGTGTATTTTGAGTCCATGTACACACACACACAAACTAATATTGCAATATTTTTATACAGACCACACTGTCACATCCTTGTGAGCACAGCAAGACCATTTTTTGATCTACTCTGCATTTGCCCTCCCTGTTAGGGGCCTATAGTGCTTCAAGTGGCCAAACCAGGAATTGCATTGAAAAGACAGCAGGGCCCCAAAAATGGAAACTGGCCCCATCTGTTTTTTTTTTTTTGTTTTTTTTTACCATTCTTGGGTCTCTCTAACCAACCTGACTGCCAGAGATAGAAAAAAATCACGTTTTTTATGTAAATTGAAGGGGAATCAAAAAATGTTGTTTTAATGGGTTTCAATCGGGACGTTTTTTGTCTGAGAGGGCGAGGTGTCGTAAAAGGTTGCCATTTGTGTATTTTAGGCCTGATTTAGGAGCGGCTTTAAAATTTCAAAAATATCACCAAAAATAAGGTTTCTGATCAAATGTCATGCTGTATGCATGAATACAGCCAAAGTTATCAAAAAATAAAAAATAAAAAATGACTGAAAGGGATGTTTTCCGTCCGAGGGGGACCAGAGGGATACACAAATAAAGCGGCGCAAATAAAGCAAGTGGCATGATTTCACCTCATACACTTATTCGCGAGACTTGTAAAATCTGAACTTCAGCAACCAACTGCACCACAATATCCAATCATCACTGAGATCCTCGGGGGACATCTGATGCTGAGGACGTACTGGTGGAAGTTCATTTATTGATTCAACAATTTCAACAATTTCTCCAGGCCTCGACAGGTCAGAGATCCATCATAGATCGGACTTGGCTCTGACCTGTCTGATCCTGGACAAAGGACCTCTGAGGTACCGGTTTGTCCCACAGATGCTTGATCAGATTGGGATCTTGGGAATTTGAAAGCTAGGTCAATGCCTTGAGCTCTTTGTCACGTTCCTGGGGCCATTCCTGAGCAGTTTTTGTTAGTTCATGTAGAATAAGCACATCATTTTGTTATAGATTGCTACTACTGAAAAAACAAAAGAAAAGAAAATCATGAGAGATATGGGTTAGAATCTCTCTATTTTTAATTTAATGTGAGTTCTTCTCTGAACGCAGGTGTAGCTCTGAGATGACAATCTGAATTATTTGCATTTATTTGGGACCTCTGGAAGGTGTCCTGTGATGTCTAGCACCAGGGTGCTGGCTTCGAGGAGTACCGTTGCTGTGAGGCGGGGTTAGTTAGCCCACAGCGGTGTTTGGGTGGGTGGAGGGTGTCATGTGGCATCCACATGAATGCCATGGCCAAATGTCTCCCAGCAGAACATTGCACTGTTGCAGAATGATCAATGTTACTCACTTCACCCACCACTGGTTTTAATGTTTTGGCTGATCGGTGTATACATATATTATTATAGAGTATTCTAGTGGCAATGCTGGGGACTGCCAGTGACTGAGTTTAAATGTTTTAATATCTGACCTGGGAAATATCAGAACTTCGATGACTGCATTGGAGATCATGTTAATATCGTCACTAGATGGCAGATACAACACGTTTGTAACTGACTATAAAACACACTTTTTCACCTACTTTTCCATGAAAATTTTAAGATTAATTGATTATTTCAAAGGGTTTTCATTGACGGATGATTATGATAGCTTGATGTCTGGGAAAATTTGGGATTAAACAAGTTAGTGCACATGTAATGTGTGTGGAAACATGCAGATGTGAAAGTATTATGTGGTCTAATATTACAATAAAGGAGCATCATCAGGTAATCAGAGCAAAATTTAGCCCCAAACTGGCGGTTACAAATAAAGTCATGGAAAAAGTGCATGATTATGTTAACTGTTGTTTTACCAGGATATTTTGTTAAGTGTTAAGTGTTGTTGTGGACCTCAGGAGGATCAGCTGCCAATAAAGACTCATGATAACTGATGTGTGACTGAACCTCTCCATCTTATTCATATTCCACACAGCCCCCCCCACCCCTGCTCCACCCCCAGCAGAGCTCCACCTCAGCTCAAAAACAAACTGGCTTTATCGGCTCACACAGAACTGGAACTATAACTCTCTCCTTGTGCAAACAGCTTGCCTAAACAGAGGCAAAGTGACAATGTTCAGAGCGTGCGCCCGCCCTGCCCTCCATTCCTCCTCGTCACTGGAAACCCTTCCTCATACAACAACACTTCCTCACACAGCGAGGATCCGCTGCTGCTGCTGCCACATGAAAAGCACACAGTGCCCGGCCAACATGCGACACCAACTCCTCTCCTACAGATTTTCGGTGCCGTAATCTCTCCAAACCCGGATATGCTTATTGTGCGAGGAGAAAAGGCGAAGCGGCAGAGGAGCACAGAATGAGAGAGGCGCGGCGGCGGAGGATCAGGATCAGGATCAGGACTGAAGAAGCTGTTTGCTGCCAGTTTTCAGGGCGACACACGGACGTGATGAGCAGAGTGAAAGTTGATGAAGAGGAGAAAAGAAATGGTGAAGCTTTCAGGCCACGCATCTGCTGAGCAGCTCCTCACCAAGACTTCCTATCAGGTACACAGAGGATCGATGTTTATCACACGCGCGCGCTGGGATGATTTACGTGTTGCATATATCCGTGTTATTCTCCTGGTGTCAGCTTCCTTCTGCTTCTGCTCGCTTCCTCCTTTATCTGTTATCACACACACACACACACACACACACACTCACATTCCCAGTAGTAGTCTTGATGCAGTGTACCTGAGCCCTCTCCTCTCTCTGTCCTGCAGACTGGCTGCTGCCTCTGAGGGTGAGGTGGAGGTGCAGCTGTAGCTGGACGAGGTGAATTCCCACAGGGCAGGGGGGCTCCGGAGATGCCGCTCCCTCAGGGCATGCTGTTCTGCTTGGGCATGCTGCTGATGACCGGTGGCGGGGTCATAGTCCTGTGCTTGGGCCTGCCCCAACAGTCAGCCCCGTTGTTTGGGGTCGGGCTGTTCCTGGGCCTGGGGGGCTTAGCCCTGCTGGTCAGTGGGCTCTGCATGGCCATGAAGAATCTCCAGGTGGCAGTGCCAGGACACTTCCTCCTGCATCCCCGCACGGGCACACGCTTCAGCCCACAGCAGGCCCTGGCGATACAAAGGTAGGCTACCAATGTACGGACGAACGTGCATAGGTAGACAGAGCCATGGTGCTTTGAACGCAGACGTTTTGGGGGTTGTTGTTTTCTTGGGTCGGTACCCTTCAATTGGGGTCAGAGGGATCAGGAAAGGTCCTTGACACACCAAGCCGACTGCAAGCCGTCGGTCAGTGTTGGGCCATAGGTGAGCATCTGTCGCCCTAGTTTTTGCAGTGTGTCCCGCACCATCTTAGCTTTTTTTTCTCCCACTGAATTGGTGATGGAGACGGCATAGCCCGCCAAGGAATGAAATCACTCTGATAGGCAGTTAAACTTCGTACACGCCAAGAAAAACAGAAATGATAAAAGCAAAAAAAAAGGCTGAAGTCAAGAGGGCGTGAGATTGAAACAAACTTGTCCTAGGTTAGATTATTTTTAGCCACTGAGCTCGTTAGCAGAAGTGGTTCATAATTGTGTAACTGTTCACCAGAACACAGTAAATATTCATTGTTCTTTCAACATCGGGTTGCGTCGCTAACTGGCTAATTAGCATCTTGAATTCATCCTGTCCTTAGTCTCGCTCACCAGATCTTTCTCAAGAAAAGAAAGGTCTGGCTGGGCCGACTCTCACTTTAAGATTGGAGAAAAAAACGCCCTGGCTGCTTGTATTTCTTTCAACCAATCACAATCGTTCTGGGCGGTGCCACAGCAACGGGGCGCTTGCAAAAATATTGCCGGGGGGAAACAGGTTTTGGTGTAACACGCCCACAAAAATATCACCGACAGGACACGAACCATCGCAGAAAAATGGCTACATCCCTGCAAGATCAAACACCGCAAAAGTTAGTAAAGGACGTGTTGAAAACTGCAACCGGAGGTGGTAGGGCGGGACTTCAGCGGGTGGCTCGTTCCGCCCAATGAGAGGCTGATCTATGCAGCGAACTTCCGCCCACTCAGACTATCCTGTCGATATCCTGATGTCCCTTTTTGAATGAAGAATACAGACTACCGCCACCTGCTGGTGTGGAGAGTTCTTGGCTAGTACTAGTTGGCTGTAGTCTTTGCGGTGTGTTCAAGCACAACTTTTTGGCTGTGACACTACTAATGTGCAGCAACACAACAGTCTGCCTTTGTTGCTACTAGTTCTTTGATATCAGTTTGGTGTGTCTGGACCTGAAGGACTTCAAGTCAACTGATGGTGGTGCTAGAATGCTAGAAGAAAAGTCCTGGGATCACCAAAGAAAGTAGGATTCATCCTCAGGGAACTATGAAACAAATTTCATGGCAATCCATCTAATAGTTGTTGACATATTTCCATCTGGTCCAAAGGGGTGGACCCACTGACAGGCCAGCTGATATTGCCATGCCGCTAGCACGGCTGAAAGGTTGGAAACCCCTGGCACAGAGGACAGCGAGCGTAGAAAACCCCTTTTTCTCTATAAACAAACTCTGCTTTCTTAAACATTGGAAGCAAAGACATTTCCAAGCTTCCCTCGTGTTGTTCAAGATAAATAGAAGCACATACAGACAAATACCAGGACACACCATCCGAGCACTGAGCTGACAAACACTCTTGTTGTTGAACAGATCTCTTGGACACTTCACTGCACATTAGTTCTAGCGCACAGTTTGGCAAAGAGCAGTGAACCGCATTAGGAAGTTGAAAACACTGGACTTGTGACACTGAGAAATTGGACTGCAACAGATTTTCTGATTATGGACTGGTTATAGAAGTAGGTCATGGAGAAAACAGCAGACACACATGCATGTGGCTGACAGACTCCCCTGGCATTGTTTGAGGTGATGATAGCCGGCAAAATTAAACAAGACATGCTCTGCTCATTGTCCGGCACCGAGGAAGAGAGGCGCCAGCAGCACCATCCATCATACACGCTTTTTCTGTTTCCAGACACTGACAAAACTCAGTGATCAGTAACTCTAAACCTGAACCATCTGATAACTGTGAGACAAAACTGTGTTCTATTAAATGTCTCTCATAAGAGAATGATGAAGTGAATTATCACAGGGGAATAATATGCGAACAACAGAATGCATTATCAGAAGGAAATGTGGCGTGAATGCTGCGAACTGAAATACACCACTGAAAAAGTTATCAGTTAAGGAACAGCTGAAGGAGTATGAACTGTAGAACAAGTAAGGGTGTTGTTGAATAGTGGAAGCATGAAAGGAATTCAAAGGAAAGAAGTGTCAGAACTGAAAGCAGTTGAATTTCAAATTAAAGTGTTAAGTGCTGAGAGGAGCTGATGATCAGTTAAGGTCTCATCAGACACATCCAACCAACATAGACAAGTGGCGACGAAGGCCTCACGTCACCTGTGTCTAGACCAAAAAGTTGCACCCGAACACAACGCAAACTCTACACCCAACAGCCAGCTTCTTCTGAACCTGCATGAGAGGAAATAACTCCACACCAGTAGGCGGTATCTAAAAATAGCAACAGTATCAGTTTCATTACCATCATTAAAAAAATCTTACGCCCATATAGGCCTATAGAGTGTGCCAGTAAACCCGGAACTCCGTTAGCGCTTTTGGCACTTCCGGTTCTCTCGTCTAAAAGTCAATACGTTTTTTGAATGGGATTTTGGTAAAATGTCTCAAATAAGGTCTGTGGTTAACAAAAGCTTAAGCGAGTTTCAGGTTTTGTTCTACGACATAAAACACATCAGTAAATACCCTTCTTGTGAATTTTGAAGCTTTTACGTGTCGTAAAAAAGGCGGTTGCTAACAAGTTGCTCAATACGACTACAAACCCTGTCGGGGACATTAAACGTCATCACCCCCGAACAGACGAGAGTGCTGGCAGTCCGCCATTACAGCTTCTTATTTAGCTTAAACAGTCCGATTTCCCCATTATACAATGGTTTTAAAATAAAGCGGCCGAAATCAGTTGAAAGCTTAGTGGCGGTGACGTCAAGAGTCATGCGACCGCGGAGTAGTCATGTAGTCTGTTAAAGCCTAACGTTAGCTTTTTACTTCTGGCGATCACATTTAAGCTTCAGATGCGGTATGAAAGGTGTTCATATGTGAAGATTATCTCGCTGAACACAACCTGTAAGTATTATAAACTTGTGTTAGCCACAGAGCTTATTTTCTGACATAATCCAAAACGCAATGCAAAAATCACATTCACTTTCTCTTTCGGGAACCAGCGCCATGCTAAACTTCCGGGTTTTGACGTCAGCCCTGGCACACTCTATAGGGGCCTGATATAATATTAAATTTAATTTATTTAATGCCTAAATAATGAGTGTTTGTCCAGCACCTATGTATGTGTGTATGAGTTTTCAATTTAATACTATTACAATTTAAAACTAATAGTAGTCTATAATGTTTCTCTTATAACTGCCCTCAACTGCTGTCGGGAGATGACATTTGATAAAGTTTTTGGATGTGACGTCGTCGCGTGACAGCTCGGATATGAGAAAGAGAAGAAAAGATGGCAAGCCGCGAGTTGGTTCAAAAAAAAAAACTTCACTTCACAACTTCTGCAAGCAGCAGCAGCAGCAGGTCCAGTGGCCGTCAGAGTGAAGGAGGGAGAAGCGCAACCCGAACCACCCAAAAGAAGATGACTCTGGGCAGTCTCCTTCAAAAAAAAAAAGCCGATGCGGTGGCAGGTCCGGTCAGCACCATACAGGAGCGAGCAGGAGCAGAGACATTTTCGGAACCCACCGGCTGTATTCGGCGTCTGACTTCCGGCAGACGGCGATACAGCCTCTGGGGGCAGACCCCTGATTTTTTGGCAGTCCGGTTTGATTTGGGCAGAGGAAGCAAATTTCCGTTTCCGACTTCCGTTTAACCTGGCAACAACTGCAGCCGGCTCAAACGTGATTGGTCAATATCACGCAGACTACAAACAGCCTACAACAGGAAACCAGGGCTCTTTGTTCTCCTTCAGGAGGCAAGATCTCCGGGGTTTGCCTACAGATTCTACATTCACTGAATGTAGAGTCTGTATATAGAGACTAGAGCAGAAATAACTGCCTGTTGTCGCGAGCCTGTTATTCAGGAAGACGAAGACCTCCTTCTCTGGTGGAAATGTGATGGAGCCAAACGTTTCCTCTGATGTTAGGGGCTGCCCGAAATTACCTGTGTGTTTGTGCCACGAGCTCTCCATCAGAGCGCATATTCAGCACCGCGGCCGAAGTTGTGAAACCACTACGTGCCCTGCTCCAGCTGGAAAACAGTTAACATGCTGGATTTTCTGGCGAAAAAACTTGAATAGTTTTGAAGCATATGATGCTGCTATAATTATCATTTTAGTTTGTTTACATGTTATTTTCAATGAGGAGTAGCCTGATCTGACGGACAACACAGTTGGGACTGGGAGAGGGTGAACTTTTCAAACTAAAGGTAGGCTCTAAAAATAAACCAGCGAACAGTATTTCCCGTCACAGTCTGAGGATACGCTGTATAGCACACATTTTCATTACTGCCTTTGTTAGTTATTGTTCCTTTTTTATTATTTGATAAGCCTGTAAGTATTGAATGCTATAGGGCTGTGTTTTAATTCAATTGATTTGTGTCGATTACTGTACTGGAAGTGGACTGTAGCCCACAGACAGTTTTTTTTTGTTATTTCATTCTGTTTGGTTGACTGCTGCATTTGTTAATAAAAGTTGTTAATGTACATATTTTGTTGTTATTTTTCAGTATTCTTAGGCCTATATAATGTTTGCTATTCTGTTTCTGAACGGTATAGGTGCAAGCCGACATTTTGGCGACTCCCTCTGAGCCCTTCAAAGTGAATTTTAAGTAGTCACGGTAATACCGTATACCCCGGGAAAATGTGGGGAAGGCTTAACGGTAACAAAATTTAGATACCACCCAACTCAAATTCATACCACGGAGAGTTTTACATATATTAGTAAACTATAACTCTAAAATGAAAGGTGAGTAAGCAGTGAGTGTCAACAACCCCGCCCTCATTCAAGAGTAGTGTTTGCGGTGGAAACACTAGGGTCTAGGTACCACGTCTTAAGGGTTACTTTTGGTTCCAAAGGTACCATACTGAAAGTCTTTGGTGGAAACGAGGCTTAATTAGCCAGTTGGCACGTTAACAATACAGCCCAATGTTGAAAGAACAAAGGATATTTACAATATGCTTTCAAAGAATAACAAACAATTACAAACTGTTTCTATTAAAGAGCTCAATGGCTAAAAAAATGATGTTGAACGTGACATACCAGAAGAAAATCAGAAATGCGAGTGTGACGACTTGCAATGAGAAAAGAGTGTATCGCCTACTTTTAGCGGGTTTTCCCATGTTAAAAAAACCTCCATATACGCATTCAATTTGGTGGGAAAAGGGTTCAAAACACAGTGTAGTCACTGAAAGGAGTTGACGGCTGGTTGGAGTGTAAGCATTGATAAAAGGTATAGATTCAGTTGAGGTCTAATGACTGAAATATAGTTACGTACACTTCTCATTGCCTCTTTCACTCTCTCTCATTCTCTTCAGGAGGTTGGACAGAATTCGTCGAGAGATGTCAGAGGACTCTGTCAGCAGGGCACCAGATCCCGAACCCTCTCTCCCGTCCACCCCACCGCCCTGGACTATGGAGCCGCCTCCGTCCTATGACACAGTGATGAAGAGCCAGGAGAACAGCGAGCAGCTTAACCTCGCACTCTAGTGGACATCTTTACTCTGTGTTTGTGCCTTTTGTCTTCGGTTCTCAGTGGGAACCTCGAGCCAGCAGTTGGTGCTGTTGATGAACTCGCTGCAAGGGGCCTCTTCTGTGCCTTAAGACAGCCACCCTAAACCCAAACCTGAGCACAAGCAAAGAGGCAGGAAGAGACTGCAGCTGGTTAAAGACTTAATATTTGTACAGACTAAGCCCCAATGTGGCCTCCGTGTCTACTAAACGTGTGTGTTGTGATTGATTGTGAAAGGAATTGAAATGATCACTGCAGCTGCTCTGCTCTCTACACTAAGGGCCTTTCTTGAGACCAGGATTATGTAACTTTTACAAGAGGGTTAAGGGATTCATGTCGACAGTCTGGCTGCAAGCCTCCTGTAGACACCTGATTAAGATATTTTATTGGCCTGCTTGAATTTATGTGACCTACTACTGTGGCTGCGCAGCACTCCTCTTCAAACACGATAAGAACTTTTCTCATGGCTTCACAGCTTCTCTTTGTACCTGCACTCTCTCCTGTCATAACTTTGCTCAAGGTTCATTGACAGCTTACTACAATGCAAAGTGCCTTAACCAGTGACGGCAGAATGTTAACAGCTTTATATCCTGTGATTGCAGAATGTCCACTGTTACTTCTATGTTGTGATGTTACTATAAACTAAAATTAATGAATAGCTCCTGAGCTCTCTGTGGGTGGTGGCGCACTTAGAAATAATGGATTGTTTATTTAAAGGAACAGTGTGTTTGATTTAAGGGGATTTACTGCCATCTAGTGGTGAGGACTGCAGATTGCAACCAGCGTTCAGCTCAGTGTTCATTGTTCAGGAGGTTTCTACCAGGAGCAGTATTATCCACAGAGGTCTCTTCCTCTCCAGAACAAACAGACTTGGTGATTAAAAAACACACTCATTGAATAAAGCAGCTTCATATTATTAATCAGTGTTTCTCTGAGCCTGTTCAGCACTTTGCAGACGGGCCACTTGCCCAGCACCAGCTAATATGTGCCCACCTTATTTCTGATCCAGATGTTCAGAAGTTTTTACCATGAGCAATATTATCTGCAGAGGTCTCCACCTCTCCAAAACAAATGGACCCAACGATTTCAACCAGTAAAACCACTGAATACAACAGTTTCATGTTAAAACTCGGTGTTTCTCCAATGCTGTTTGGCATGTCAGAGACGGGTAGCCAATGTGTGCTCACCTTTTTTTTCTGATAACTTAAGATCCAGACATTCAGCAGGTTTTTACCATGAGCCAAACTATCCCGAGGTCTCATCCATCCATTTGTTTTCATCTGCTTATCTGGGGCTGGGTTGTGGGGGCACTAGGGGGAGCAAGGTATTCCAGACGTCCCTCTTCCCAGCAACGCTTTCCAGCTCCTCCTGGGGGATCCGGAGGTGTTCCCAGACCAGATTAAATATATAATTCCTCCCGTGTGTTCTGGGGCTCCCACAGGGCTGTCTACCAGTTGGATGTGCGCAGACAACCTCTAATGGGAGGCACCCAGGAGGATTCTGATTAGATGCCCGAACCACGTCAACTGACCCAACTCTGAGCTTCCTCCAGATGTCTGAGCACCTTACCCTATCTCTAAGGCTAAGCCCAGCTACCCTATGGAGGGAACTCATTTCGGACACTTGTGTCTGGCATCTCATTCTTTCGGTCATTACCCAAAATGTAAGACCATAGGTGAGGGTTAGGATGTAGATGGACCTCTCCAAAAAACACGGACCAGGTGATTTGAACTGATAAAAACATTGAAGTAAGCAGTTGCTAACTATAGTAGCCGACACAAAAAGCCCTGTCTAAAGCCAGTGTTTGGTTTGCCCGTTCTAGGCTACTCCAGAAACATGGCGGTGCAACATGTAGATCTCTGTGGACGAGGACCGGTTGCATATGTAGATATAAAGGGCTCACTCTATGATAACACGATTCTTGTTTCCAGGTGATCATACACTAAGGAAAGCAGCCTTATTATATTCCATTTCTGCCAGTATACCTCCCTCAATCCTGCACACTGGGCCTTTAAAGAGGGAAATCTCTGGGAAGGTGGAGAAGAGACAAAAAGACTTTCTTAAAATCATGTCCAAACCAAGCAAACAAACACTCACTAGGCTCAATACTGTTCAGATGTTCAGTTGCCAGCCTCCTTGTTGTCAGCAGCTTGAGACAAGGTGACCTATCAGGTACACACCTGCAATTTTATACCTGACCTGACTGGCTGTCTGCAGGCTGTAATAACCAGCAGAGTGGAACCCTAACTGCGCCTCCTCCAGCCTCACCTTCAAGCCCTGACACAGAACAACACCAAACCTTTTCTAACTTTACGACAGGCGCTTGAGTTTTACACATAAATAAGAGCTTCATTAGCCAGCAGCAGCTGCAGCGATGGTCGAGGGGAAACCGTATCGATACGGGCTGATAGTTGCGGGGCTGTGTGTGGCGGCAGTCGGCCTCTTCATCATGACTCAGGAGCAGCCACACATCTATGCCACAATGTGCGCTCTGGGCGTCACTATGGTGTGTGTTGGGACTGCATGGAGCCTCTGCCAGTGCTATCCGAAGGTAGACTGTGTGTGTGTGTGTGTGTGTGTGTGTTGGGGAGAGAAGACAGGAAATAAAGTGTGATTGCTATCACACAGAAATGGATTTGGTCATGGCAAGTGTGTGTTTGTTAGGTGATTCTGGGTCCTGAGATTCAAGAGAAAAGTCCAGAGGATGTGGTGTGTACTGCAGCTGGAGCAAGGTACTGTCTCACACACACACACACACACACACACACACACACACATTCACACACACACATTCACACATGCATAGTGCCCTAATGGCTCACAGACAAGTGGGTGTTCATTCAGGCCTTAATGATTCCCTGTGGTCTGTCTGTGCATCTCAGGATGCTAGCGACCATCATCTCGTGGGTGAACATGGCGACAGGAGCAATGCAATGTGTCTGCAGGGGGGAAAGATCTGCACAAATACACTGAGGATACTAACTTTATTATCTTAAGGGGAAAATTAATGGTGATGTAATGGAGTAGCTGTGGCAGCAGAGCAAAGGAGAGAAGCACAAGAGAGGAAATGTGGGATTGAAGAAAAAGGAGAGATTGTGGCTTGAAGGTTTTGACTGAAAGGATTAGTTGGAAACATGATGGTGGAGAATGAGTAATGCTTCCCCCCCCCCCCTCCCAACAAGGACCATTAATGTTCCCTTGATTAAAGCACTCGAGTCTCAGTCTGTATCGTGGCCAGCGGGTGAAAAAAAAAGGAGGTTGTACTGCGCAGCTCCTGCATGAGAGTGTTTGTAATATTCCGAATGTTCAGCAGCCAGATAAAGACATGCACGCTCAGCAAAACCCTCCCTCAGATTAAAAAAAAGTAAGAAAATGAGGACAAAACACTTGAACCAGACTTCTATTTCTGTCTCTCCCCCCTCCTCCCCACCCTTTTTGATTTAATTTTAGGCATGCTGAGGCTCTGCCAGGTTTCTGTGGCCAAAAGTCGAGTAGCAGCAGACTTCTTCCCGAAGCCCTGAAGAGCCACAGCTGTCCTACGCTGCACCTGGTCTGAAGCAAGGACATCATCATCCTCCTCCTCGCTGGTCCAATTAAATCACTACACCACACTGCACTCAGGACAGATCCTCTGCTGTATTTTTATAACCTGTAACAGCTGAATTTATTTTGTTTTTTGCTTTTTTATAAAGTGACTGATTTTGTGTCAGAAGTCTAAATAAAGCTGAATATGCACTGCATCTTAGATCCAGAAGATGGCACTATTTACTGTATGAAAGAAAGAGGCTGTGTGTGTTTAGCACATTTGAGGGACAGTGACAGACACTGAGCTGGCCTACATTTATTCCACTCAGGCACATTTTTGCCCCATAATGTGATTAAAGGGGTCCTCAAGCAACTTTCTTAAAGGGACAGTTCACCCAGAACTCAAGACTACATATTTTTCCTCTTACCTGTATTTACCTCTTCGTGCTATTTATCAGTCAAGATTGTTTTTGTGTGAGCTGCTAATTGTTGGAGATATCGGCTGTAGAGATGTCTGCCTTCTCTTTAATATAACGGAACTAGATGGCGCTCAGCTTGTGGTGCTCAAAGCGCCAAAAAATACATTTGAAAAACTCAACAATAATGTCTCTTTCCAGCAATCATGACCCGGTTACTCAAGAAGATCCACAGACCTTGTTGTGAGCAGTTTCATGTAGGGACTATTTTTTTTGCTACCGAACTACACCCAGCAACTGTATTATGGCACAGGTGGACGCGTGCACCTACTCATGGACGAGAGGCTGATGCTTGTAACAGCATGAGATGTAAACAAACTATACTACACAAACTGTCACACTACACTGTTAGTAAAACAACTTGATTGACTTTTGGTTTCACACTGGACATGAACAGCAGGCTCCTGGGTGAAAGTCCTGAGTTTGTTTGACCCATCCACCCAATGAAGGCTTTCTTGCTATTTAAACTACAGTAGTTGCCTGGAACATCATCATATGCGGCTGCCTGGGTTGTCGCATACCATTGCTGAAGTGTGCCTCCATGCATCGGTGTCTAAAACCGGATTTATACTTGCGCGTCAGCTCTATGCAGACCCTACGTCGTAGCCTATGCATGTGGCCTACGCCATTGTGAGCATTTATACTTGTGTGGTGGCGTGTCTGTGTCACTCTGCAGTTACACCTCCAAAACACTAGTTGGTGATGTGATTTCTGTGAAGTCCTGTAAAGTTTAGTTGATTCAAAACACACATTAAACACACATTAAACATGACTTAATAGCAATAATTTCAAACACAAGTACACAAATCAGCTTCACTATAACTCGCAGCATTCACAGACAAACACTTGTCTTTATCTGGACACATTTTCTCCACAAATACAACATGCTAATGTTATTAGCACAAGACTATAGCATTTTACATTGTATAAATTAGCCTAGTGGCTAGCCGACTTTTCCTCTACTCATATGAAGCCAGGGACAACAGCAACATGTAACAAAGGTGATGTTACAAAATTTGTCTCCATTACAACTCACAAGATTCAGCGGCAAAACTAGTGTCATATAATAAACTTGTTTTCCAAACAAATAGAACACGCTAACATTATTAGCACAAGCCTATGGCATTTTACATTGTATGAATTAGCCTAGCAACAAGCGGAGATTTCCTCCACACATATGAAGCCAGGATAAATCGCACACAGGACTTAAAATGCTATTTTTGTGGAGGCTTTATTGTCTTCATAATTTATTGTTTCTCATCTATGAAATAAAAGTAAATAAAAGCTTTGTTTCCACTGAGGGAAATGGTTTCAGTTTACGCAGTGTCATATGGTTACGTTTCTGGGGAGGTGCACGTCAGGCTACAGAGCAGTGTACGGCATCAGTTTGACACAGAGGTATAAATCCCGCTTAACACTGACCAAGTAACCGGGTCGTGATATCTGTAAAGAGACACTGATGTTTAGTTTTTAAAATGTTTTTTTTTAGGGCTTTGAGCACCAAAAGCTGAGTGCCATTATGTTTTCTTATATTTGACAGATAGCAGACATCTCTACAGCCGATAACTCCAACACTCGGTCGCTTACACAGAAATAATCCATATTGCTAAAGAGCACCACAGGTAAGAAGAAAATATGCAGTTTTGATTTTTGGGTGAACTGTCCCTTTAATGTTTTGTGTTTTACAAGAGGCAATGACCAAAATCATTATTATTATTATTACCATTCATGGGTGGACAGAAACATGACTACCCAATGAACGATGATGTCGCTCCCTGCTGCTGGCTGTGTAATAGCTAAAGTAACTGTTTGCAAACACATTTATCACAGAAACTTTTAAGGTGATAATATAACAGTGTTATTTTTACAGCCTGTTACCAAGATACACAATATTTACTCTTCTATCATTCTCCTTTACAGCAAGACTTTTGCAGTCATAACTTGTGTCTCCTGTCAATGACAGAATGCCAGATGTGCACTTAACAAAGCCTCTGAAGAGCCACAGAGGACACAGGCTGAGTAATAACTGTAAGAACCATAAACAATATTGTTTGAAGTGAGCTGGACTGACACAGAGACATACGGAGGGGGGGTGTGACAGAGAGTTAGGAGATCTGCAGGTGCACCAACAGTTTGACAAAACAAAAATTAAAAGAAAAATAATATAAATAAATAATGTAAGTATGATCTCAGCATGGTCAGCCTCTCTGCACACACTCACACAGCATGAGTTCATAAACAAGTCCCTGCATGCAGAACTCTCAGTGTTCACATGTCGTGCACACGTTAAACCGCATCAACAGATGAACTTGAACTCAGAGGGATTGCTTTGGATTGACATGTAATAATTAGGCTACAGGGTGTTTCAGGGGCAGCGTGAAACATGACTCCTCCACAGTAAGAGGTGTTTTTAACGGAGGGAAATCATTCGATACAAAAGCGGTGGCGTGAGCCCCAGAGACGTCAGCAGTCCCCGCCTTGAATTATAAGAATCAATTGTTCGATTTTTTTTTTCTTCCAAAATCAGAATATTTGGTTGGAGGCGTTATCTGACTGTCAGACGCACACACACACACACACACACACACAGTGCGCGCGGCTATCAGAGGCACCAAAACATCTGGAGAAGTCAGACTGAAATAAAAACTCTCATCACATCACAGGATTTGTGTCATTCACTAGTTCTCCTGATCATCTTTCTGGAGACGGTCCAAGAGGTTTGAAGAATGCGTCGCACCTCAGCCTGGTATGGCTGGACGCTGTGTTTGTGCGCATCTTTGGCCGCGAGCGCGCAGGACTACCCCGAGGACGACGAGATGATTGTGGATCTGATCCGCGAGGACGGGACTGCACCTGGAACCGGAGCCGAGCCCGCTGCTGAGTTCCTCAAGTGCAACAAGGTATTAATAATCATTGTGTCAGGGGCACTGAAGCGCATCTTCTACATACTGCAAACAGCCTGCTATCATACCTGGAGCTGTGTACCTGACAAGTTACAAGTCTTCATCGCCTCATTATTATGCAGGGATGATTTTTATATTATATACATGTAGCATATATTATTTTTTTTATCTCAGGGTCAAATAATCACGAGACAATATTTGCTGCAGCTAAAACCATGTTGACAGATGAGCAGGATGAATGTGATTAACTGCTCATTACAAAGTATTGAGTGACATTTAAAAAAAACTTTCTGTGCGCATGCCTCATTTCTCCTGTAACCTGCATTGGGACAGAGCACCTGTACTTTGTGTTCTGTGCGCTGTGCTCCAGGCAGCTTGGCGCATGCCCGGTCAGTACCTGGTGGTTCTGCGTCAGGGGGCGCACGACTCTCACGTGCAGAGGACCATCAGGAGACTGAAAGCCAAAGCAGCCAGGAGAGGTTACCTGCTGGAGATCCTGCAGACGTACTCCGGAGCTCTGCACGGCTTCCTGGTGAAGATGAGCAGTGACGTCCTTCACCTGGTAACTGCTTCACTGGCTGTCAGCATGCTGCATGTGGTGGTGAATAAATAAAGGTGTGGGTTAACCTCTTGCAGGTGATCAATATAAGGACACTAAAAAATCTATTAACTCATGTAAACATCAGTGGATTTATTTGTTTTGCTCCTCATTAAAAATACACAGTTGGTTTGAAAGTACTGAAAATATTCACCTTGTTGGAAGTTTTATTTGATAAGGTTTCATCTCACCTGAATCACAGTGAGGGCGGCACGGTGGTGTGGTGGTTAGCACTCTCGCCTCACAGCAAGAGGGTTGCCAGTTCGATCCCGTGGGAGCCCTTCTGTGCGGAGTTTGCATGTTCTCCCCGTGTCAGCGTGGGTTCTCTCCGGGCACTCAGGCTTCCTCCCACAGTCCAAAGACATGCAGATTGGGGACTAGGTTAATTGATAACTCTAAATTGTCCGTAGGTGTGAATGTGAGTGTGAATGGTTGTTTGTCTCTATGTGTCAGCCCTGCGATAGTCTGGCGAGCTGTCCAGGGTGAACCCTGCCTCTCCCCGATGTCAGCTGGGATAGGCTGGAATGGATGAAGCGGTTAGAAGATGAATGAATGAATGAATCACAGTGGATGAAATGAGGCTCATTGACACTGATCGACAGAACTCTTCAATATCAATACAGACTTGCATCACCTATGCAGTTATTACAAGGCCGTAACCATGGAGTCAGCAGTTGTTTGTTTGTTGATTGATTTGCGCTTGCAAATCAGCTTACACTTTAGTCAAAGAAAACTTTATTTTATAGTTTTTGATAAATATATTAGGGAAACATTTTGAACATATTTGAATGATCTTCAATTTGAGGTCATTCAGCAGTACAACACTTTTGGAAATCTAGATCAGTAGTTCCCAACTGGTTCAGCCACTGGTTCCAGATCTGTCATTAGCCGTTAGTTCAAGATCCACACAGTTTAGAATATTCAGCATCATACTTGTGTTTGGCCACGTCACCAAGCTAGTTTGTTGTCTCTGTTAAGTAGCTGTCTGTTATTCACTCACTCCACAGCAGGAAATGGCACTTCAAAATAAAGGTTTTTTTTTTTTTTACAAACACACCTTCTAAAGTCACTTGCAGTCCATTCAGAATGGACCCACGACCCACCAATTGGTAACCA